AGCAGCCATCTTGGTCTTCATGTTCAATATCACAACACGGCCAAACGGTGAGCGCTGAGAACAGCTACAATATTCGATATGTGTTGCATTAGATATATCTCTATATGCCTAGACTGCTCTGTATATGTGAGGTCATGGTGTCTTCATTGTTGGATATCTAGATGGGCACAGACAGTTTATAACATTTGATACTTGTAGACGTTAACCCGGAAATTGGTTTTACTTTGAGCTAATATGTTCTGTAATTTTTTCTCTTCATCTTAGGGTAGTCATGGGGCCCAGAAGAATTAACATCAGCTCCATCTGGACCGTGGACAAGAACGGAACATAATTCAGTTCATCCAGCAAAAGCCATTTTTGTCTTCATGTTCAAGAGCATAGATGAAATACATATGTTTGTATGCCTAGACTAATAATAAGTTTTATACTCATGAATCAAGACTCCAGCATAAGAGATCAAACCAGCCAGCAGTTTGGCTTGTATCTAAAAATGCTGCTCATATTATTATGGAGGTGGTAGAAAGTGACTAACGGATCGATCGACCATAAGTGGTCGACCGCAATCAAACTGATGTGATCCGCGTATTAAAATAACTTAATGGACCGATATACGGCTGGTCTTATTCAGTCATATCTCTTGAAGCCGAGATTTGAAAACTGGTATTAGGTGAAACAACACGGATAACGGGGAGGGTTTTTTTTTAGTATCTTTCAATAATTTTTTGAGTGAACATTTTCAGACAAATGTTTTAATGAGATTAGAAATTAAGCATAGGGATCTCATTATTTTATTCGCCGATTGTAGTTTGGAATCCTTATAATGGTGTGTCGAAGCATAAAAAGGGAATCGTATAAAGGAGCATAGAATGTGTGATAAAAAGATGATTGATAGGTAGACAGATAGAGGAGGCTGTAAGCCGTGTGGGATGGGTTCGGAAATCGTATAAGAACATGCGTAATAGGTAAATTACGAGCCTTATATGAAACGACTGAAGATGAGGGCCAATGGGCTAAACAAATTTCTTCCCTTAAAAAGGGGGGCTTATTTGAGAGGGGGGGCTAAATAGAGGTGTATATCATATTCGACTGGATGAGTCAACTACAAACTCAATTTTGGTACTCAAGTCTTTTGCATGCTTTTTACGTTTAAGTGATTTTCAATTTTTTTTTTCTCTTTTAGACTAGTTTACCTGTCTCTATTTTATTTTAGACTGGTTTAACTGTATCTTGCGCATCTCAAATTTTACTGTCCGTTGCAAAGTTGCAGTTTGGAAAAAAAAGTTGCAGTTTGTATGTACATATAATATGAGCGGCCGTGTTGTATCGGCTATACAATCACGAGAGATTGTATGGCAGATACAACACGGACGCGAATAAAGTAAACAGCGTGTTAAATTCAAGAACAATTCATAAATCCTTTGGGACATTTTGAATTCATATGCTAATTAGATACAACCACTAGTGCTGTATCAGAACTGTATACACCCACTAGTGGTTATATCTAATTAGCCTTTTCATTGTAAATTTTGTATCGGGTTTACATGATATTCACGTGACCTGAGTTCTGACACTAGACTGGCTCGAATCCTCATTACTAATTAATGAGTTTTACAAATCAATTTTCAACACTATATTATTTCATTTCCATTTTTCCTCTTTAGTTGATCACTGTATTACGATGTGGCTAAAATGAATTTCTTCGAATTTTCATTTCACTGTGTTTTATGGGTGCAGTGCTATAATCACTTATCCAATGAACTCCTTTCCAATCGTCAAACCCACTGGAATACCTTCCATTTAGACTAGATCTATAATTATTGTAATACCACCAGGCCCCGTTATAAAGCACAGCCGTGTTCCCAGAACTCCAAACGTCATAATCTCTATCCTTGGTAGTAAATGCCATGTTATTATGACTAAGTAAAGACTCCCCAGCATCACCTGAATACGAAGCAACCTTGAGTCTGTACTTGTCTGATTCATCACCAATACTAAAAGTTCCATATTTGGCATATTTCTGGTTTCTGTTCCAGTCCTCCAAATCCACACGTAGCACCCAGGGTGTTCTTGCAGTTAGTCGATGGATGTGCTCGTTACCCAACCAAAACTCACCATTCAGTTTTCCAAAACCGGTTTTGTAGTGCTGCCAGTCAAGATAAAAGTCTACCGATCCATCTTGCCTTCTCTGAAACACTGTCCACCCCCCTCCGTCAGTTGTCATGTCACAGTAGACTTGAAAGGCTCCTTGGCTGTCGGGCTTGATCGTGTACACACCGCTACGTCTTTCACCTGATTTGTAMATCTCTGAGCAGTCATGATGAAAAATCTTCAGTGTGGATTGTGCCTGCACATCGAATACCCCAGCACTTGTAGCAGAGCAGACATAGATATCATCGTCCGACACTTGAATGTTTCTCAAGACCAGAGAGCCGTTTGAGCTTATTTCATATCTACCAGAGGGAAAAGCACCATTTTTTCTTCTCCAGCTGATCACTGGTTCTGGATCACCTTTAGCTGAACAATTTAGAGTCAATGATGAATTTACGATAGCGTAGGATATGTTGGGTGGTCTGACAACAAACACAGGTAGCTGTACGACCACCAGTACACATCCTGCAGCATCAGAACCAAGAAAATTATCAGAGGTGCACACATACAAACCAGAATCATCCTTCACAACGTTAAACAAGGTCAGCTCGTCATCACGAGTAAGGGTACGATTTGATGGCAATTTACCAATGGACCTGGACCACGTGACTCTGGGTTTGGGATGCCCCATCACGTGACATGTTGGTAGTGTGACGTTGTCTCCTATCTTAACGTAGATTGGTCCTTTCTTTAGGCTAACTCGAGGACGGTAGTTGACCACTAGTCTTGTGGTGGCAAGTGCTTTACCAAGAATACTAGATGCATTACATTGATATATCCCTGAGTCAGAGAATGTGACATGTTTGATCTCTAGTATACCTCTGCTACTATTAACTATTGATCTTGTCGTGTCTAATGAACCTCCCACTTTACTCC